TAAAAGTACTTTAAAAACTAATAGGAAAGAACCCAAAGGAACTTAGGTACCAAAAAAACTTATAATTCATATTACAAATTTGTTGTGTAGGAAAAACACTTGAATAAAATATGTGAATTCTCACACCATACAATGGGCTCAAATATTGGATTTAATTTATTTTCCGTTCATATATGTGTATTTATGTCCATATATTTATATTCCGTTTTTATATTGTTTTAAACAGCTATAAATATCAATTGTAGTCTCTCCTTATAATGGAATAACAATTTTCATCCTTTCTTTTCTCATAACATGATATCAGAAGAAAATTAATTCTTGATCACGTTCTTCCGCAGCCAATTTTGTTACTGCCAAGATCTTATTCTACCTTTCGTTCTTGGCTTTCCTATAATTTATTCTCCTTCTATGGCTACTCCCTCTGTTACTCTTGCATCGTTATGTTTTATGTTTTGACTTTGCTTTCTAGGGTTTTCAATGAGAAACAATTGGGTGTTTTTATCACTCGTAGCCCTGGATTGATTTTTGAGGAATCTGGAGGATTTTCTGGAGATTCGGGTTGTGAAATTTTTGTCCAATTTGAGGTTGTGAAATTCAATGGCTTTTGCACTTCTTCTACTCATTCTCAAGTGTAGTCACATTCCTCAACTCTGGACTTTCTCGAGAGCAAATTCATGGTCTATTGGCACTTCTTCCTCAATCTAATCCCACAACCACACATTCTACCGATATAGTGAGTTCTCATAATGTTTCCACTTCTTCTCAGGATCAAGGTAATATCTATTCCCAATGGATTCTAAACATAGGTGTTATTGATCATATATCTAGTTCTTTGTCTCATTTTATTTCTTATCATAGAATCTCACCAATTACAGTATCACTACCCAACAAGAACTCTTCATTTTCTCATTATTCTGGCACAATTTCTCTTAGCCCACACCTTACTTTACATAATGTCTTGTTTGTTCCTAATTTTTCAGTCAATATTATTTCGGTCACAAAGTTAACTAAATCTCTATCTTGTAAAATTACCATTTCTGAATTTTCATGTGAAATACAGGACAAGTCAATGCTGCAGATGATTAGGAAAGCTGAAGAAAGAGATGGCTTGTATATCATGATAGTTCCTACATCCACACCCCTTGGTTCACCTATTACTCCTGATAATTATATTGCTTGTTCTACAATAAGGCCTAACTCTATAGATATTTGGCACTCTAGACTAGGGCATCCTTTTTCTTCTTATTATATCCAATTACGCACCATGTATGCCACTTTACCTTATACAAAATACACTCATTGTGATACTTGTCACTATTCTAAGCAAAGGAAATTCCCTTTTCAATTAAGTACTACTGTTTCAAAAGCTCCTTTTGATTTAATTCATGTTGATATTTGCGGGCCCTATTGTACTTCTTTGTTGATGGTTTCAAATATTTCTTAACTATAGTGGATGATATGTTTAGATACACATGGATTAAATTGATGGCAAGTAAGTTAGATACAAGATCACAATTTATTTGCTTTGTTTCTTATATCAAAACACAATTTGGCATTGATGTAAAAGTTATCAGATCAGAAAATGGTAATGAGTTTGCAATGACAGATTTTTATAGACAAAAAGGGATACAACATCAATTACCTTATGTTGAAACACCTCAACAAAATGGAGTTGTTGAGAGAAAACATCAACACATTCTCAATGTTGCTAGATCTTTAATGTTTCAATCTCATTTGCCCATAATTTTCTAGTCTTTTGTTGTTCGTTATGTTGTGCAACTCATTAATATTTTACCTTCCAAAGTTTTGGCATATTTTTCTCCATCTCAGCTGTTACACAATGTTAAATCTAACATTACTTACTTACGAGTTTTTGGCTCACTTTGCTATGCTTCAACTCTTCAAGCTCATAGAACAAAATTTCAACCTCGTGCAAGAAAATGTGTTTTACTTGGTTTTAAAAAAGGAGTGAAAGGTTACCTTTTGTTAGATTTCAACTATAGGGAAATTTTTCTATCAAGGAATGTAGTATTTTATGAAAACATATTTCCTTTTCTTACTAGTGACAAGCACTCACCTATTGATACACAAAATTCCTTGGATTTTGTCACCAAAATTATTTCCTCTCCATCACCTCTTTTCTCAGAAGTTACTGATCAACCCTCTTTACCACCTACATCTCCTCCTTCTATTGTTCCAGACCCTATTATTTTTTCTTCTCAACCTATTTCTGTTGAACCTCCCACTCGTACTCCACAAAGGAAATCAATCAGGCCAAAACATAAACCATCTTATCTACAAGACTATCATTGCAACATGTTATCTACTTCTTTCGCCACTCAGTCATCCACAGGTACCTTATATCATATCTCTTCATATCTCTCATATGATGCATTATCATCTCTTCATAAATCATATGTCCTTAATATTTCCCAAGTTAGTGAACCTAAAACCTATAACCAAGCCATCAAACATGATTGTTGGAGAAATGACATGGATCAAGAAATTGCAGCTTTAGAAAATTCCAAAACTTGGGTTTTGACTGATCTACCTTATGGAAAGCAACCTATCGGATGTAAATGAGTATACAAAATAAAGAGGCATGCTGATGGGAGTATTGAACGATACAAGGCAAGGTTAGTAGCCAAAGGCTACACACAACAACAAGGTTTAGATTACTTTGAGACTTTTTCACGTGTTGTCAAACTCACAACAGTAAGATTGGTTTTGGCTTTAGCAGCTTCCAAACATTGGTATTTACATCAACTAGATGTAAATAATGCTTTTTTACATGGGGATCTAGATGAAGAAGTATACATGTCTCTTCCTCTTGGCTACAAAACAGAAACCAAGGCAAGTTTACAAGTTACTGAAGTCTTTATATGGACTCAAGCAGGCCTCTAGACAATGGAATTACAAGTTGACAACTACTTTACTTTCTTTGGGCTACATTCAATCAAAATCAGATTATTCACTTTTTGTCAAAAGTGATTTTGCTCATATCACCATCTTACTTGTTTATGTAGATGATATAGTCTTGGCAGGTGATGACATCCAGGAAATTTAGACTGTGAAGGCTCTATTGAATGCAAAGTTCAAGATTAAAGACCTAGACCAACTCAAGTATTTTCTGGGCTTAGAAATTGCAAGATCTCAACAGGACAATAATTTTTCACAAAGAAGTATGCTTTAGAGTTACTAAAAGATGCAGGATTGTTGGGATATCAACCTGTTTCTACTCCCATACAGCCAAGCACAAAAGGGAAACCCTATTTAGATGTGCATGCCTATAGAAGACTTCTTGGCAGGTTATTATATCTAACAAACACAAGACCAGATTTATGTTTTGTTGTTAGTACTTTGAGTAATTTCTTTCCAATCCTTTGGAAGATCACAACAACAATAAGGATCCTGAGATATATCAAGAACAATTCAGGACAAGGATTATTCTTTCCCTCCAACACAAAACATGTTCTCAAGGCTTTTAGTGATTCTGATTGGGCTGCTTACCTTGACACTAGAAGGCCGGTGACTGGTTTTAATGTGTTCTATGGTGAATCCTTAATCAGCTGGAAATCCAAGAAGCAAGGTACTATATCTAGATCATCAACCGAAGCAGAATATGGAGCCTTAGCTTCCATAACATGTGAAATTCAATGGCTTTTGTATTTGCTCCATGATTTGAAACAACTTCTACCACAACCAGTTTCTCTGTTTTGTGACAATCAATCTGCTATACAATTGCACAAAATCTAGCCATGCATGAGAGGACAAAACATATTGAAATTGATTATCATCTCATAAGGGATAAAGTTCAAGCTGGTGTAATTAAGCTCCTGCCCATTTCTACTTCAGCCCAACTTGCAGACATTCATACTAGAGTTTTGCATCCAACACAATTTCAATCTTTGTTGTCCAAACTGAGCATTAAGGGTATATATGTTGCAGCTTTAGGGGGAATATTGGATTTAATTTATTTTTCGTTCATATCTGTGTATTTATGTTCATATATTTATATTCCGTTTTTATATTGTTTTAAACAACTATATATATCAATTATACTCTCTCTCCTTATAATGGAATAACATACATAATTTTCATACTTTCTTTTCTCATAACAAAGTCCACAATCATAAACTTCTATAAACATGAAGGTGATAATGTACCTATTAATGGAACTGGGAAATGTAAGATATCATGTATTGGATTTGTAGGTATACATCTCTAGTATGTATTCAAAATGTCTTATACGTTGAAGGACTTGAATATAATTTTATTAAGCATAAGTTATTTATGTAACAATAGTTATATGAGTTTCTTTAATAAGGACATTTGTGTATTTATTATTTGATGGAGAAATCGTGCTTATAGCTAGATGAAAGATCAATCTCTACACGATTGATCTTTTCGACTTGAGTTAGTAGAAAGTGATATTTTGCCATGAGATTATGATATATACTATGACAAAAAATTTAGGATATTTAACTTCAAATATATTTCAAAACTTTCAAAGAAAACCTATCAATCTTTCTTTGAAAAACTCTTCTTCTCTCGTGTCAAAAGAAAGGAAGAGGTAATCCAACTCTTTCAAACCTCAAAATTGTATTTTCACTTCAAAATCTCTTGAACTTCTAAGATGAAATATGTAAAAATTAAGTTAAATTTTTATTATCATTCTTATATTTGTTTTCACTTTATTGGATTAAGAAAATCATAAAAAAAACGAATTGAAGTAAGGGAAATTGATAAGGATGTACTATAACACTATCTGATTAAGAAAAAGTAAATATATTGTTAGAAAAATTTGTAATAGATATGATTATTTGATTAATGTAATTAAAAAATTGATTATCTATTAATATATTTCAAAAAATAATTTATAAATAAAATTTAAAAGTTATTCTATGTAAAAAATAAATTTCAGTTGAAAGGAATGTAGACACCGATAGTAAAAAGCTTGGCTTACTGACCTAAAATGTAAATAATATTTTGAAGTTGGGAAAACATTATTAGTTGGTGAGGTCACAGGGTGAGAGAGTGAGAAAGAAGAGAGATGGAGCTTTCTCAGCTTGGTTTCTTAGAAGAATTGGTAGCTCCAAGAAGAGAGACATGGAATGCTTTGTCCAGTGGGTTCTTGGAGCTATTGTCTAATGGTTGGAGTTTTGACACTTTTCTTGATAACCCATCTTTCCCCTCCTCTAACACCCTCTTTGGTGCATTTTCAGCACCATTAGACCGCAGATTTGAATGCCCTTTCACCAATGAACTACCACCATACCCATTTCCCGATGCCTTCACAATGCCATTGCCAGACCTTCAACCTGGCAACGATCATCCCTCACCTCCACTTCCACCCACACTCGAGGATGCAGATATTGCCTTTTATCACAACAACAATAACAACTTTCAAGAAATCAAGACTGTCTGCAAAGTTGAAGAACATGGTGTTGAGAATCCACAACCCACAGAGATTCCACTCTTCAACACAGCCATGTCT